AGAACCACACGCTTGACATAGATCCCTATGAAATTATTGAAAATCACATGGATAAAATTGTTTTACGTGATTTCAGGAGGCTTTCGAGAAATTTGCTCTTAATTATGGCAAGCATCACCTTCCAATAAAGATTGTAAGCCACAAAATGGGTGAGTAAAAACACCACCCCTTATCAGATTTGTAAATAAAATTCTTCGTCGATGCTTATTCACTGTCTGAGTGACTGATACTTTATCTCCTAAATAGGATAATGACTTTTACAACTGGGCTGGGTTGTTCTGAGCTAAGTTTAGATAGTCGAGGATTCATGTGAAGTCTGATTTCAGATATGAAAGCTATAAAAGAAAATTCAGCATAATTCTATTGGACTTTTGACTATAATCTTCATGATTGTTTGACTCTTCAAAAAGAGTGAAGAAAATTATCTCAAAATGGCTTTTGAACGAAGGAATAAAGAAACCCGGATCAGAATTTAACTTTAGGTGAGCGCCAATTGGCCTCAGAACAACTGAGTGGGTCCTGAGTCATTCACAAACGATTATGTTGGATCTAGTCTGTCTCTTTATTCTTCAATTTTTAATCGTATTCATCCATAAGCGGGAAGTCTCTTTTTTTTTATCCTTCAGTGCTGGAAGTCCAAAAGGCCTACCGCCAAAATGCAAGTGACTTTTACCTCGACGTACACGAATGGCAAACGAACATCAATATTGCCTCTTCAAATTTTGCAGATAACGGTTTGTGTTACCTGTTGTCTTCAGTCTGAAAAAAAAAATTTATATACATATATATAAATATGGGGGTAGTGTCTACCTTTGCATAAAGTGCTCAATGCTGTGGTAGCAAAGCTAAGTATACATAAGTTAAAGAATTAAAGAGGACGCATCGATTCTCTGTGACTCTGAGTTTCGCGCCTAAGCGCTCGTCAGACAGAACTTTATTCAATGAATGAATGCCTCCTTATATACAAATAAGATAAGTAGCTAATTAATTCACTAGTGTGATGATCTGATCTATGTGTGAAATAAAGATTCTATAGAGCTATTGCTGGTGGCTTGTGAAATTTGCTGAGTAAAACTTATTCTCTTAGCGGCATTTAGAAATGAGATCTGTTTTTTTGTTTAATAAAGACGGCTTCTTAGCTCTAACTAAGTAAAGTTTTTCTGTGAGGCACAAGTGGCACCGCTTGCTTTTGTTGCTGTAGGCCGGGGCGGTCGCTAAAATACTCCAGTTAATTGCAAAATTGGTGTTGTTGTCTTTGAGTGTCCAGATCTGCTTTGATAGTTCCGTGCTGTTTGAATAGTTTCTGTTCCGAAAAGAAAGTTTGTGTTGCATATAACACTAACAGAAGGAACTTTTAAATAACGTTATTATTTAATTAGTAAGTCTGTTGTAATCTGATGTCGATGTTCACTAGGGAGTATTTGTTCTCATGGCAGCATTTAGAAATTAATTCAGCTCTTTTGTTAAGGTTGCTTGCTTTGTCGGCTTTAATAATGTAGAGTTTTTCAGTTAGGCAGAGGTTACATCGTCTGGAAATATTGTTACAGGCATCGACACCAGATTACAATTAAACAGCGTTGACGTTATTTCTCACGGAGGACAGTTCACAAGCTTTCGCAGGCTTTGCTTCCAAAACCTGCGCTCATCGGGTTTATTTGTTTTATAGCCTGAAGGAAATACATAGATTTACCTTTTTTAGGATCAGTGGTCGTCGGGTGTGTATATAAGAATCTGCAAGACATACTGCCGAAAAGTCAACCCAACAGGAATGGAACAGGAAGCACAAGGTAACAATATTGTCTTCTTTGTGCTCAAAACACCTGGCCCTGGTTGTTCGAAGGGTAATTAACGTTATCCACTGAATAATTCGCTATCCGGCAGATAGAGCAAAACATTTTGTTAACACTTATCTGCTGGATAGCGTCGACTGGCGTTATCTTCCCTACGTAGAGAATATCGGCTAAGATATGCAAATAGTTTGGTATCGTCACCACCGCTACCACTCTTTTAAACCACCATATTTTTGTCACATTCTGGTTCATTTTCAAATCATTGTGTACACAGATATTTGGGTAGCAGAATAATAATGGCAGCAATGGAACCTAAACCAAAAAAATTGCTAGAAAATGTCGTCTTGAAGTTCAAAAACATAAAGGTAAGCAAGATTAAATAACATGAAAGTAAAGAGAGATTATTTGGAATGTGCTGTTTTATTTCATCTCACCACGATGATTTTATTTTCAGATAGAAGAAAGGGTGAAGAATTGCATGTTTTGGAGAGGCTTCAGCGAAAGGTAAAAAATTGCAATACATCATTTACTTTTCTCAGAATTTTCTTGTTCGTTTGGTCGTCCGTTTGCCTCTATGTTCCCGCCAATATTTTCCGTGAATTTCGTTGTCCAGTTGCTTGTTGGCTGTATTTGTGAATGTCCTCTTATATTCCGGTTATCACGGGAGACACTTTTACCTAGAATTGTTATGTTTCATTATTTTTCCCTTAATTTAACATTAATTTTCCCTTAAAATTTGTCCTGATAAGATGATTTTCTCTATTGAAATTATTTTTCCAAGCTATAATCCTTCTATCTACGACAACTTCTGTCTAAAAATTTGTAATACACCCAATCAAAGTTTGAATCTATGCCTAACAAGGAAGTATTGTAAATAGTTTCCGCCTTGACTTATTAAAACTAACAATGAACTGCCAATAATGTAATCGATATTATGAAATCAAAAGGGTTTTGATGAAATTCACTCTTTTGGTACCATGGAAGGCTATTTCCTACAATACGTCTTGCCTGCTGAGGTCATGCTTCCTTTGCAGCTCCGACGGATTTTCAGACGAAGGATGCCATGTAGTTACGTCGAGGAGCAATTCAGAAGAAACAGTTTGTAGCTGCAATCATTTGACTCATTTTGCTGTATTATTAGATTACAACGATGATACAAAGGTAACAAATTATATGTATGTTCTTATTCCAGCACTGGTGATACATGTAAATTAATTGAGCTAATTCACGTGTCTCTATTTTCTTTTTTTATGCTATGTGACGCAGCTTTCCAAACAGGAGGAGACTGTGTTGAAGATAATTACCTACGTAGGATTAAGCTTGTCGATCATCGGGATCCTTGTAACATCAGCCTTGTACTTTTTCTTTACGTAAGCATGGAGGCTAAATAATGGATGAAGAACACATTCTCAAGTCTTCTTCTAATTACTATCGATTGTAATTTCTCAACAAAGGAAAAAAAAATAAAGGAATAAACGTAACTTTAAGTTATCCAAAATGTTCCTTTTAATCTCTCCGAAATTAAGGTAAAGTAAGTCGATTAAATAACCAATTTACTTTACATTTCATGTTCAATTAGAAGAGCATTAACAATGCATGGTCTCTTTCCTCAGTCCTTAATGTTTTCTTATTCTATACTAACTTGGCTTTTTATTTGCCTTTTGATTCTGAAACTTTTGATTGACTTAATTTTTTTTGGTGTTTGTTTTGTTCTGGTTGGTTTTTCTTTTTTTGCTTAACTTTTCATTTGAATTATTTTTGTTTTGATTATGTTTGTTTTTTTTACTCATGTCTGGTTTTTGTTTTTCCTTCCTTTTTCGTCATCTTTCATTTCACCAGAGATGTCCGTCAACCTCTGTCTCAAATTCGATTGAGTCTTTCTGTGTCCCTCGGAGTTGGACAGCTAATTTTTCTCGCAGGAGTAAACGCCACAGAACACACGGTGAGAGGCTTCTCCGATCTTTTCATTTAATTAATCAAATCTTTCTCCCAAAACAAAAAAAAACATATTTCCTTTTGCAGGCTGCTTGTATCGCAGTAGCAGCTCTGATGCAGTATTTCCTGATGGCTGCCTTTTGCTGGATGCTGGTCGAGGGAATCTACCTCTACCTGTTTGTTGTGAAAGTTTACAACATCAACACCAAGATGCACATGTATCACGTCATCTCATGGGGTATTTCCATGACTTATTTTATTACAACATGTATTGCAGGTAGTACCGTGCTCTCAAATTTGGTGTTGTCATCAAGTCAAGTGCTTTGAATTTATTTTTTTGTATTTATGGGTAGGTTTCCCTATGATCATGATGGCCATTTCACTTGGCATTGCTGTTGCGAAAGAAGGAATACAAAGCTATGTCAGTGATAAATAGTAAGAAACACATCAATAGGTTACTTTTTACCTTTCTTCTCTCTCTCGCGCACTATCAAGTTAAGTTCGTTTTATTTTTCTTGTTCCGTTTTTCCTTGGGTTTTTCTTTTTAAATCATTGTGATGACTTTCATTCTTGTCTTTCAATTTTATTAGTTGTTGGCTGTCTTCGACCAACAATCTGATCTGGATATTCATCTCCTTTGTAACGTTCATCGAAGTTGTGAGTTTATGATTAATTTATTTCACGGTGCTTGGTTTACCGAACTAGTTACTCACTATTTTTCTATTGGACTCACTATGTTTTTTGTTCGACCTAAACTAAACAAATAACTTCTATACTAAGATTCAGTGATTTTAATGGCATTTTTAATAGGTCAACATCTTGATACTCGTACGAGTCATAAAGGAGATGACCAATTTGGTGCAGCCAATAGGTGAAGACGACCATATTCAGCAAATACGGTAGGATTCACAACACAAAATTATTCAAAATAATGAAAAAAAATTTCCTTAACAAGCTGTACGTGCGGTAACGTTCGCCTGACTCCCTCATCCCTTGACCAGTTTGCTATTACGATACCTGTTAATGAGACTGCGAAAAAAATTATCAACCCTTATGCATGCACCTTATATTTTGTTGTCGATCTTAGAATTGGTATCAAAGCTTGCGCACTGATGATTCCTTTACTGGGTGTCACGTGGCTGTGTGGTCTTCTTTCGCCTCTACAAAAGGCTTTTGCTTACATTTTCACAATGCTCAACTCTACTCAGGTGAGTGTCCGATTGAAACTCTTAAACCCAATCAATCTAGATTGTTCAATTTACACAGCTCTAACCGAAGAGAGAACCCTTTACAATGATTAGATGATATAAAAAAAATTAAAAACCTGTTAACTATCCACTTGACCCGAAATATATTCGTAGCAGTCTTGTTAGACCTATTAGATATTGATTCTTGAAGACGATTATTATATGCATTGTGCACTGAGATACCCAAACAACGCACGCTCCGCCGCTTCCTACTTAAGCGCAATATTGTAAAAAAAATTATTTTGAAATTATGTCTCTGCAACAGGGTTTCCTGATTTTTGTTCTACACGGCTTACGAAACAGTCAGGTAAGAAAAGAAAACTAAGTCAAGAATAAGGAAAGTGCACATTATAGCACAAATGTTTAAGCATGAATAACTATTTGAATGAAATTTGAAAGAAATGTATCATTTGTTGCTTGTCTATCTGCAGATCAGAGAGCGATTGAAAAGAAAGATGAACGTGGTTTTTACCACTTCAAATAAGGAGGACTCCACAAGGAAGAGCCCACAGGTCAATTCAAGTGACGTCGGCGATGCCCGGGCAGTTGAATTGCAGCCTCGCAGTGACGTTAAATCGAATTAGCACTGTACTTAAGTCAGTGGATTTAACTGTCTGCCAGTAACATTCTATTCCATTGAACGATTGTGTAGTAAATAGCGATTAGTCGATGGCGATCGATCTGAGTTTCAATCTGCTGTTAAAATGTAATGTAGTAAAAGTAAATTAACATAAGGTGCATCATGTAAGTCGATAGTTTTTAGTTAGTAGGACGGATGTAGAGCTATCGAGTAGAAATACTGTCAATAAATTGTTATAGCTATTATTATTATTTTATTATTATTAAGTGAGATTGTTCTCTTGCTTATTGTTTTAGCAATTCACCAGCTGCAAGTGCTATTTTTTATCTTAACGGCCTTTCCAGAACATCGCATACATGAACTTGCTAAAGATCTTTTGATAGCTACATGCTAAGTTGTCCTCACTAAGGATCAAATTATCGTAACTACAGGTTGGTCTGGCTTGTCTGTTATTAAGTGACTTTCATTAAAGATTACATCTACTTTAGAAGTTCAATAAACTTATGGCATGAAATTATTACAAATTCTTCTTTAATTAACACTGTTTAGTTCCAACACGCATTTAACTGCCTCCTTTCAATCCTCGTGCGCTACATTTTAACGCTTGCTACATGATGCTTTCACGTTTCATATCGGAGAAGATACTTGTCAAACAGTATCTTGTTACTGTAATATTAGCAGCCTCGTCCAACATCTAATGTTATCACTTATGAATAAACAGATGAATAGATAGATGATGCTGAGTTAATGAATAAATAACTATGTTAAAAAAGAAAGAAATTCTAGGAGATTACATATTTTAACCCTTTAATGCCCAAGATCTCATTTTTAATTCTCCTCACTGTCTGCCACACAATTCTCAGGTGCTACTTCTGAGAATTTGGTACTGTATCACCAGAAAATCCTCAAACTTAAATTTTTCCTTGTTCTCATAACCTGTCTGATCGATATTGTATTGATACTGTAAGGAGAAATTCTGTCTTGGTCACTCATGGGAGTTAAAGGATTAAAGATCACTTGAATTTTTCAATCCTTATTCTCCGCTTTCCTTAGATAAGTATTTCTATTTCGAATTGTAAATGTACCGATGAGTTCTGATATTTAAAATTGGAGCCATGGTAACCAAAACTGGAGAAAACTTCATTTCAAAGTGATCGAAGAAAAATTGCACACAGTAGACAATTTAAAGGAACAAAGCGCAGTAATAGATATGTTAGTTAATTAAATGAGCCTCATTTCTAAACGTCAATACAAGTGAGACATATGCTGTTGCATCTATCCAAATTAATGTTTCTTGTTCTTGTGAACACTTCTTGAACAAAATTATGGTTTTGACATGTGACCAGAAAAAAATAGAATCGGATAAAAATAGTATACGTACATTTCTTCCCCTACTTTCAAAGGGGCAAAGAGAAATATTCACCATAGGAATTGACGCACTCACAGCGTAGGTTACAACTTAGTATTATCTTTGCCAGAAAAACAAATTGCAAAAATTTATCTTTCAAGCTTTACTTTTTCCTTAATGGGCCTCGAGCACTGCAAAGAGATTAAGGGATATTTGAGCAGTCTTTTTCCACCTCAGCTTATGCCTCAACGTGATATGCGCGATATGTGTTTCCATTAGCTCAGCTAATGGAAACACGACAAAACAATCGACAACATTCTATTATAAGGTCATACCTGTTTATAAATTAGCATATAAGGCTACTGACACTACCATACTTCTTCAGAAGAAATTAAACAAAGGAAATGATTCTGAAATGCACGAAATTATTCCTCTACACCGGTCAAATGTGATAGGTATAAACGCTTCAAGTGGCGACTGACTCAATACATTGCGGATGAGACTAAGGACTATTTGAGGATCATCTTGCCATTATATTATGGGCGAACACTATAGATGGTGATGAGAGAGGCACTTGAAGAAGGGATTTTCCTACCCACGGAACACATAACAATGACTGGGCCTAGACTGGAACTTAGACCTGAATGGAAAAGGTTAGCATTCAAAGAGATGGACTCAGAGGCGATGGTCTTCATGACACTTTTACCGTATAAGGGGGGAAGGGTGGGAGGAGGGATTTGTTTTGTAAGCTGAGGGCTTGACTATAAGTCGTGAAGCGCCATTGGTTTTCTGTCCAATTGACGATCAACCCTATGAAAGCTATATTTAACTCACGCTTTAAGAAGGCATCCTTTGACTTGGGGTTTTGTAAATAATACATGTTAATTAATACATGTGCGAATAATTAATGACATACGAGGTTAGACCCATCGACTGATACGGCAGCATTTCATCTGCGAGTTGAAAACAAAGACATTATTTTCGTTTATTTGTACGAACAGATAGGACACCCACGTTAGCCACCAGTGAATAATACAAAAATCTGTTCAAGAAAACTATCGTTATCTATCTATCGTGGAGCCCATAACTTCATTGCTCATAAATGACTTTTTTTTTACTGCATTTTCATAAAATTTGAAAATAATATGTGTTTTTGTCTCGTGAAATTCTCGATCTTATGAAGAAAACCAATGCCTTACACCCGGTGCAAGTTTCTTTCAGTCTATTAGTCTATCTGTTAAAAAAAGTGAAAAAAAAAAATGATGACTCATGTCATGAACTGTCGACCGAGTTTTATAATTTACATTTATTCTAGCTCCTACTAAAGAGTTTTAAATACCTGAAGAAATCGCCTTTTATTTACTGCTCCCGGATCACGCCGGGTAAGGGAGCATCGCCAAATAGCAACTTGCCGCCCGCTTTAATCTCCTCTGAGTTCAGCGGTTTACTTACAGAGAAGCTAAGAATGGTCGCTAAGCTTTACAGAATGGCGGCCACGGATGAGATAAAAGGGCCCTTCGCCCTTTGCGTGGAAAAGTGGAAAATTTTTTTCAGTTTGAAGAAGAAGTGTGAGAGATTATAACGTCAGTTTTTTAAAAACACCGTAGTGGGCAAGATGTGTTTCAAAAAGTTTGCCGCTCACGAACAGAAGTCGGTTCGGTCATCGAAGCGGAAATTTCTATGTCGCTTAAGTCTGTGTACAGACGCCTAACAGCTCGAATGAAAGCTAGAGAACCGTGGACGGTAACTTTTACGAGGGACATGCCCGAAGAAATTTTTCTATCCGTTATGGAAGTGGTAAAGAAGGCTCCCTCTGCCTTTGGCGTAATACATACAACAACAGATGTGGCATATCAGCTTTCTTACTCTAAGGAGACCAGAATTTTGAGAGATTTTTCAAAGTTGTGCAACACTTCCCGAGAAGACGTCATGTCTTACCTCTGCAAGTAAACTAAAGCGCCCAGGAAAGGAAACGCCAAGGTTACAGTCAAGCTGGATAAGCCTTTTGTACTGACATATATGAAGCGGAAACAACATCTGATAGTGAAGTGCCACTAGATTTTCACAAATGAACATGGTTATTCCTTTCAAACTTGACTGAAATACACAACTTGACACCATCCTGTACTTATTGTTCGAGGGGCTAATACTTCCAACCTTCATCAGTTATTGTTACAATAATGATTAGCAACTAACAGCGCCCAATTATTGTTCCACAAGTTGTGATAATTTTCTTGCCAATTAGGGTTATCATAGCAACAATAAAAATCGTTAAAAACATTTGTAATTTTCCGTCTTAATGCTTATAACTCAAAACTGAGTTGACTACTTCCATTTGTTATACTGAATTATGATCATGTCATGCTACAAGTCTTGGCAGAGTTTTTAAAAGCTTGTCAGAGTAGTTCAGAACCACCCTAAGTTTTTGAAAATTGAAGGTTGCTTTCAACCACTCTGACAGAAGTTTGTTTAGACTTTGCTGAATGTTGTTTCATGACATGCTGATTGTAAATCAAGAATAAAAAAAATAGGACTTACTAAACTCATTTTTGAACTAATAGCCCTAAAAGCTTAAATTAAGGGCTTTTGAACAGGTCATTCTGATGCTATGCTAACCCTTATGGAACAGATATTGTCTTTAGTTTTGAGAAATGATTGGACATTTGTTTTGTAGCAATACTGTGGCAGTAAGTGACCCATCAAAATGTAGGGGCTGGAAATTACTAATAACACTTATGAGCCTCCCTTAGGCACATGTACTCTAACTTAGTGTCTGAACAGAAATGTGTACTATTGATACACACCCGATGCAACAAAAAAACAGGTGCATCCACCAGATCAACCCTTGTTTAGTATAAGCACACAAGTGTATAGTGTCATGTAACAAGTTCATTAGTGTTTATTAAAATGCTTCAAGATGGAAATAACAGATGTCCCATTGCTAAAGATGTGTTAACAATTGTTGAGAAAATGCAAAACAATACAATTTTCTGACAACCCTTTCCATTGTTTTACCGCTAAAATGGACCAATACAGAATTTATCCATATAAAATGCCTAATAACTTAAGGGTTAAGATTTTTCTTAACAAGGATGGATTTAAGCATCAAATGCTTCAACATGTAAATAACAAAAATTACATTGCTTAAGACACACTACCAATTGTTGAGAACTATGAAAACATTATAATTCTGTGACAACTTATTTCACTGATTTACAACTGAAATGGGCCAATACAGGGATGCCACATGGTTCCACCATTAGTTGCAAATGTACCCTTTAAATCTGAACAATTTTCTTTTGATGCATTTGCAAACGAGGAAAAGAACTTGGCACTGTTTGATAACTCTCCCCCCAACATAGCAAGCATTTTCATGTCATTAGGTACTTCTTCAAATTTAAAAGTAACCTTGAGACCCTCAATTTCAAAAACCTTTCCCTCCAGGTTAGTAATTTCTTGGCATAAGAGCTGCACATACTTTTTAACCACAGGGCAAGACTCCTCATAGTTGGCACCGAATATAATAAAATTGTCATTACTGGAGGCAACCCTCTTGCCAACATTTAAGAAACTTACTAAAAATGTGCAAGCACTTTCGTTCTTACCAAAAGGGCACCCGTTGCCACCAAGGGCAACAAGGAATGTGCCCTCCGCATTACCAAACCATTTTAGTGATTCTTTCTTATCCCTTCTCAAGTAAAATTGTGCAAGGCGTGGCAAAAACTCTTCCAATTTTCGAAAGCAACCACGAACAGTATCATGCTTCTTGAATATAATCCTCAACTGAATACACATTCCCAATATCAATTTTGCTTATTTCCCTCACAAGATTATTGT